TAGTCGTAGTAGTAGTAGTAGTAGTAGTAGTAGTAGTAGTAGTAGTAGTAGTAGTAGTAGTAGTAGTAGTAGTAGTAGCTAGTAGTAGTAGTAGTAGTAGTAGTAGTAGTAGTAGTAGTAGTAGTAGTAGGAGGAGGAGGAGGAGGAGGAGGAGGAGGAGGAGGAGGAGGAGGTGGAGGAGGTGGAGGAGGACGAGGAGGACGAGGAGGAGGTGGAGGAGGAACGCCAGGCTAAACCGAACGTGTGTCAACGATTCTGCAATATCCCCTTCCCATCCCAGCCTAAGTCCCGTCCCCGTTTGTCCCTGCACGCGCTCTTTGTCTCTGCGCCCAGCGCCCCTCTTGATTGACGGTTGCCCAGTGGGTCCGCGATTCAGGCAGAAATTCCGTCGTGAAAGAATCCGACCTCCATCATTCGGGTTATAGGAAGTGCCCCGCGACCTTTGCGTGTGCAGCCCTTGCACATCTTTGAACGTTTGCCCCCCTTCTCTCTCTCTCTCTCGCACACACACACCCAACGGACTCTCACGCGATAGCCCCCTCTTGAAAGGTTGCCGCCCTTCAGTCGTGTCAGGGTCACAGAGTTCCCCACGGCGGCAAGAGGCTAAATCTCTGAGGGCCCTCCATCCGTGCAGTTGGTCGTGTGCTTGTTCGGCGAGTGTGCGCAGCGCTGAGTCGAGGGTCCAATGCCGTTGACGCGCAACGCTTGCCATCTCGCACACAGTTGGGCGTCTCATGCGAGACGCCCGGCCCGCCCCGACGACACGTCTGGCGGTGTGACGAGGAGGTGTTGTGTCTGAGAGGTGGATGCAGGAGGAAGGAGAAGGAGAGGAGGGAGCGGGGAGGAGGGATGAGGGAAATGAGGAGGTGGAGCTCGAGGAGGAGGAGGAGGAGGAGGATGAGGACCAGGAGGATGATGATGATGATGATGATGATGATGATGATGATGATGAGGAGGAGGAGGATGATGATGATGATGATGCGGAGGAGGAGGAGGAGCAGGAGCAGGAGCAGGAGGAGGAGAGGGGAGAAGCAGAGACAACGGCGAAAGAGGGAGCAGGGTATAGAAGGAGGAGGAGGAGGAGAAGAATGAGGGGGAGGATCACTGGGATACAAGCGGGGGAAGGAGGTCTCAGAGCCCAGGGTACCTTCTGATGATGATGATGATGCTGATGATGATGACGACGATGATAATGCAGATGACGAAATTTCTGATAATGATAGTTGTACTGCTACTGTTTTTTGGATACTAAGATTAAAGCGGTACTCATAATGTTGATGATGATGCTGTTGCTGATGATGATGCTGATGGTGGCGATGCTGATGCTGTTGCTGATGGTGATTGTGGTGATGCTGATGACAACGATGTTGATGATGACAACACTCATGATGATGGTGATGATGACGACGAGGGTTACAACGATGATGATGCTGATAACTACGATTATGTTGATGATGATGATGCTGATGCTGACGATTATCATTATGATGAGGCTGCTGCTGATGATGATACTGCTGATACCGCTGAAGATGGTGATGATGAAACAATAAAGTCGATGATACTGCTGATGATGCTGATGATGATTATGAAACTGCTGCTGCTGATGATAATGATGCCACTGCTGCTGGTATTTGTGCTGATGTTGTTGCTAATGATGATGCTGATGATGTCGATGACGATGATTATGATGATGCTGATGGCGATGCTGATGCTGATGCTGATGACGAGTGTGATGATGTTGACGACGATGTTGATGATGCTGCTGCTGATGATGTTGATGACGCTGCTGCTGGCGATTCTGGATATGATGATACTGAGGATGCTGATTGATGATGCTGATGCTAGTGCTGGTGCTGACGCTGATGCTGTTGCTGCTGCTGATGATGATGATGAGGAGGAGGAGGAGGCGGAGGAGGAGGATCAGGTTGAGGAGAACGGCGGAGGGGCAAGAGAGATCAGGAGGAATCTCGACGGCTCTTGGAGGCTCTATGGGGTCCTAGGGGGTTATGTTTTTTTGTGTTCTCTTCCTTTACTCATTCCCCATCTCCTCCCTCTTCTTCTGTCTCTTCCGCTCCTGCTCCTTCCCCTCATTTTCCTCCGAGTCACCCGCCGAGACCCCCCACCCGGGCGCGCAGCGTGGCGTGGGCAGGTGCAGTACGCCGCCTACAAGCAGTTCTGCGGCGACACCACCGTCGAGAAGGACCCTCCCCCTCCTCGCCCTCCTCTCTCCCGCCTTCCCTCGCTGGTGAAAGAAGGAAGGGACAGAGGCTGGCCCAGCAGCAGCAGCAGCAGCAGCAGCAGCAGCAACGGCAGCAGCAACGGCAGCAGCAGCAGCAGCAGCAGGCCACCCTTTCGTGTAGTCGATCAAGGCTGTGCAAGAACCGCCAGCAACGGGAGGAGGAGGAGGAGGAGGAGGAGGGAGCAGGAAGAGAGCCAGAAGGCGGAGGCGGCGGGCGAGCGGCCGGTTGGTCGGCGCGCCACCCAGCCAACCCGTCGGGCGCGCGCGCACGCCTGCCTGGGGGAAGGAGCGGGGAAGGAGAGGGGACGGAGAAGAGGTGGTGGAGGAGGAGGAGTAAGAGGAGGACGAGGTGGTGGAGGAGGAGGAGGAGGAGGAGGAGGAGGAGGAAGAAGAAGAGAAAAAAAGAAGGAGGACGAGGTGGGGAGGGGGAGGAAGAGGGGAGGAGGAGGAGGAGGAGGAGGAGGGCCAATATAAACTCAAGAGCGATCAACGATGTTGGAATACACCCTCCCCTCAAGCTCCCTCTTATGGGCCCCATACAACGTTGTATTTCTATTGAGGGAACTGCCTTTTTGGAAAACCGTTTGAAGACCCTGGAGCATGCCAAAGCATGGATCTCGGGATTCCAACTCCACGGATCAACCGGACTGTTGCGTCTTGACGATTTTGGATCGTGCCAGGCAGCCATTGTTGGGATTTCAGCATCGCGATTCAGCGTAACTGAGGCACCCGCAAAATCCATAACCCTTCCAACACACCATTTCTGGTACGTTGATCATGGGAACCCGTGATACTCTTGCACATGTTATAGAATAATGTGCGCCGCCCTCAGGCGAGAGCCACATGTTGAAAAGGAGCCGCCCTCAACCCGTGACATTTTATAACATGATGGACCCACGAACCCGGAAAGGGATATAGAACCGCATGCATGGAAACGTTTTCACGACACCGTATTGGGCGACGGGCACTCCCACGAGACACCCCGCGAAACATTCCACGAGACACGGGCGACCGTTTTCAACGTTTTCCTGGAAACATTCCACGAGACACCCCGCGAAACAGTCCACGAGACACCCCACGAAACATTCCACGACGACAGGCAACCACTCAACCAAGGCGGTGTGGTCGTGCTGGGGAGTGGTCGTGCTGGGGTGTGGTCGTGCTGGGGGGTGGTCGTGCTGTGGTGAGGTCGTTCTGGGGGGGTAGTCGTGCTGGGGGGTGGTCGTGCTGGGGTGTGGTCGTGCTGTGGTGAGGTCGTGCTGGGGTGTGGTCGTGCTGGGTGATGGTCTTGCCGGGGTGGTGTCGTGCTGGGGTGGGGTAATGCTGGGGTGTGGTCGTGCTGGGGCGGAGTCGTGCTGGGGTGTGGTCGTGCTGGGATGTGGTCGTGCTGGGGTGTGACATCTTCGGTAACTCTGCGGAGCAAGCGTTTCGCTCGAGACATCCTCAACACACAAAAGAGTTGCCCGCGGGTCTAGGACAGGGGTCAAATCGTTCCAGAGCGTTTGGAATGCTCTCAGAGCGTTCTGGAATGCTCTGAGAAGGCCGCGGTGCCAGATACGTCCTCGAGAATCGCCGGATTTCAGAGATCCCCGATTCATCCCTGTCCGTCTTTGTCCCTCCTGGCCTCGTCCCAAGTAGCTCGGAACGATCGAGTCGTCGGGGTTCGGATTGCCCTCTCCCTCCCCCTCCTCTCCGCTCCCGAGCCTGCCCCGCGTGCTCTGGTTGCCCCTTTCTGGCCGTGGAGTGTGGTCTCAGGGCAGTGTTTCAGAGCCTCCCAGATGATGTCCGAGAACAACCGAGTATGGGATAGACTACAGAATAGATTTGCCCGTCGAGTCTACGAAACATACATATGATGCTCTGGAGAACCACGGAACAGTGCGTGTGTTTTCCGCAGATTCGACAGAACAATGAATGTTGGGGTGTGTCAATTCTGTAGTCGATCCCCTACTCGATACATGGGGTCGATGGATCGCGCCGATGCGGCTCGATGTGGATCCCGACTCTCTTCACGCTAGCGTCGTGGATGCATCGCCGACGTCGCCGATGCATCGCCGATGACTCGGCGATGCGGCGCGATCCTCTGACCCCATCTACTCGGACCTCATTTGGGAGGCCTCTAGTGTTCAATCCCGCGTTCTTCACCACTTCCAGCGAACAGCTCTGCTCTGACAGAGAGGACGCTACACAGCTTTGTTTTCGCGCGGGGTAACTTACTCATGCAGTCAGTCAGCGCTTCAAGGTAAAACCTTTATCGTTTTCCTTCTCTCTCACACAGCCTCGCGAACGGTGCTTTTATTTGTGCTCGCAATGGTGAAACAATTGTCAACGCAATCGTGTGTACGATCACGCATCTGTGCATTTCTTGTGCTAGCCACATTCTCACGCGCGCGCGTGTGTGTTTACGCTGCAGTCCGCCCTTACACTCCGGGATGACACGCCTCGTCTTGTCGCCGTGAACTGAGCTTCAAGCCCAAGTAACAGCAGTTGGTGTGACCCGCTTCAGCGCTACCTGTCAGCGCACCGGGCGCTGGAGGAAGCATTGTGTTCACACGAGCGCGGACATGCGAGCGAGGGTCCGTGGAATCGCATGACATCGAGGGGCGCGCGTGCCGCTTCCCCCTCAGGACAAAGCCATCAGGGAAGCGGACGAGAAGATCGAGGTGCTCAAGGCTCGCGTCCCTCTAAGACCTCTGGCGTCGTCGACGGCGTCGTCGGCGTCGTCGTCGTCGTCGGCCTCGACGTCGTCCTCGGCGTCGGTGTCGGCATCGTCGCCTGAAGACGTCGTGGTCGTCAAGATCGAGGTGGGTTCTGCTCTGCGCCTCTGGGCTTCGTCTCGGGGAGGGCCCTGCCGCCTCCCTCTGCAGACCGGCCCCCATCGCTGCGAGGATCGAGGAGGAGGAGGTGGAGGAGGAGGAGGAGGAGGAGGAGGAGGAGGAGGGAGTGACCCTTCGCCGGAGTGATCTTTGGTGCGGGCCCAACGGGATCCCCCTATCGCCGAAGGCGATGCGGTGATAGCGTCTTGCGCGCTTGTGTTGAGTCCCCCCGTGGCCCCCCGAAAGCCGCGCACCAAAGGTCACTCTTGCCTAGGGTCATTCTTGCGTGTAGTCGAGAGGAGGAGTGGTGGATGTGGAGGGCTTTGTGGGCCACGCGCAGATGGGGAAATGGCGCAGGGGGGATGGCTTCTTAGAGGGAGGCTGCTTCTTAGAAGGCGCGGGCCTTATCTGTAGGTGGAAGGCCGGCGCATTCTAATAAGCAGCCTCTTTCTCAGAAGCTTCCCCCCTCCCCCTACCCCGTTGTGCGCGCCGCCATGGCGTGGTGGAAGAAGTGGGCTTTGTCAGTTCTACAGTCGGGTCTGATTAATAGGTCGCCCCTGCAGGGCTCATTTCGACTCGTCCGACTCGATTCGATTCGATTCCAATCGATTCCGATTGCGATTCGATTCGACGTCGGATTCCGATTTGGATTTCGGTTTCTTTATGGAGGTCTTAATTATTACCCTGCCGATTTCAACCGATTCGGCTTATCCCGACTTGCGGCTGCCGATTTCGCCGATTCGATGCATCTCGAACGCCGATCCGACTCATCGATTCGATTCCAGGCTCGCCTGCCCCTGTAAAAGCATGGGTGAGTTTGCAGTTGCGTCTTATGCCCTCGTCATGCCTGTAGCAAGCGTTGCCCTTAGAAGGGTTTTGTGTTCTTTGGGGTATTCTCTGCAATCAGTAGTTCAGAGTTTGAAAGACATGTAGGGCCCATACGGGAGGCTTGGGGATGTCCAGGAGGCGGAAGAGGAGGGGAAGCAGAAGGAGGAGGATGATGATGAGGAGGAGGAGGACGGATCAGAACAAGGGGAGGACGACGAGGAGCAAAAGGAGGAGGTGCAGGAGGAGAAGGAGGAGGATCGAGGATCGAGGACATGAGGAGGAGGAGGAGGAGGAGGAGGAGGAGGAGGAGGAGGAGGAGGAGGAAGAGGAGGAGGAGGAGGAGGAGGAGGAGGAGGAGGAGGAGGAGGAGGAGCAGGAGGATGGTTGAATTCCTAGGCCCTTGTGCCTGGCAGGAGATGCAGTGCAGCAGAACTGGAGAGCACGATGCAAATGTCACTGAGTTGGTGCGTGATGTTTGGCTCGAGTTGCATTTGACCAAGAGCAGTGAGCCATAACGCGAATCATAGTCTTGCATGCCATTTTTTTTCTGGTTGAGATCCTTTTGGATGTCTTTCGGACGGAACTTGTATAATGCCGCCAACCCAGGTGCCGCGCCAGCCTCACGTTAGCAATGCGTTGATTTCTAAGTGCCAGAAGTGTCGCACTGCTGCTTTCTGCTCCCTCCTGCTCCCTCCTCTCTGCTCAGGGCCCTCCGAAGATCGTTTCACTACTCTTCGCCCTCATTCTTCACGATTGGCTCACCGGCGCCCTTCCTTCAAGCAACTCCTCTGGGCATCGTGACCTGACCTAATCCCTGTGTTTCAGACGAGGAGGGAGGAGGGCGATGGAGGAGGAGGGAGGACGACGAGGGAGAAGGAAGAGGAGAACGCGGATGACGAGGAGGGAGGAGGGAGGAGGACAAGGAGGACCAGGAGGGATGAGGAGGATGAGGAGGACGAGGAGGGAGGACGACGAGGGAGGAGGGAGGAGGACGAAGGAGGAGGACGAGAAGGGAGGAGGGCGACGAGGTAGGAGGAGGAGGACGAGGAGGGAGGGGGACGGCGAGGAGGACGAGGAGGGAGAAGGAAGAGGAGGACGAGGAGGGAGGACGGAGGACGAGGAAGACTAGGGGGAGGACGACGAGAGGAGGAGGGCGAGGAGGACGGGGAAGGAGGAGGACGACGATGGAGGAGAACGAGGCGGACGGATGACGACGACGGAGCAGGACGAAGGGGACGAGGAGGCAGGAGGACGAGGGAACAGGACGAGGGGAATGAGCCAGGAGGGAAGAGGGCGACGAGGGAGGAGGACTAGAAGGGAGGAGAAGGAATGCAGGAGGACAAGGCCGCAGGGCCTACCCTGGCGGCCGCGTCAAGGCGCCGCGACCCTTGCTGGCCACCGCGCGCGGGGCCTCGAGCACGACCACGAGTGGCCCACAGTGGCTCACGCCCACCCTCGCACGCGATGGGGGGCATCCAAAAGCTGCCCCTGGGGGCGCCCCGGTTTTATCCAAAAACCTTTCGTAGGCCCCCCCAGATTTCATAAAGAAGCTGCCCTTGGGGGGCCCCGGATTTCATCCAAAAACTTGCCATTCAAGCCGCCGCAACGACACCAACGAAAATATAACAAGCAGTCCAAAAACCTCACACACTTCCCCATCCAATTTCCCAACCACTTTTTTGTTTCATCTTGTTTTCGGCCGTTCTTTCATGAGTTTTGGGATTTGGTTGTCCCGCGGCGTTCCCGGGTGGTCCGCGGGGATGGGCCCCCGCGCGCTTCCCCTGGCGGGCTCGCTCGCACACCCCGCCGGCACCTTGTGGTGGCGACCACGCAGAGCCACAGGACGCTGCCAACAGGTCGCCAGCAGCGTACCGGGCCAGTGCTGCCCGACCCAGACTGCTCCTGCCTGCTGGGGCTTCCTCGGGCTTCCTAAGATTTCCTGGGGCTTCCTGGGGTATTCCGGAACCTCCTTGAGGCCTCCTCAGGCTTTCTGGGGCCTCCCCGGTGCCTCCTGGTGCTTCCTGGGCCCTCTTGCGGCACCGTGGGGCTTCCTGATGCCTCCTGGTGTTTCCCATGGGAAACACCAGGATGTAGGGCAACCTTTGCCAGGGCCAGGATGCTACGGCGTCGATATGGACGGAGTTACCGACGAAAGTGGGGCTGCCCATGGCGTCGAAGGAGCGGGGGGCGCAGTGCCAAGTGGCGAGGGGGAGATGCCAGGAGGCGAGGCTTGGAAACGGGAGGCAGCGTACGTCGCATGCGCGCGGCGTTAATTGCGACCATGGCACTGGCTGGGGCAGCGTAACTTCGGCGCGCGTCAACCGGGGGAAGTTGGATGCACGCGCGCGCCGGCTACAGCTAGCCGAGATTGAGGGGCCCAACAAGGAAGTCAATGGAGTGCAGCTGTGGGGCCAGGAAAGTGGCGTTGAGACGATTTTTCTCGTTGTGGACCCGGGGGCCTACGACGCCGTCGGGCCTCCAAGCGTGGGGGCCCGCTTCTGGGAAAGCCCACTGGGGCCCGCAAGAACGGCGGACTCTACAGTGCAGCACATGGGCAAGTCATCAGGAGTCATGGGCAACAGGCTTCTGTGGGTAAATATGAAGTGGGTTCCATTGTGAGCGTGCTCGTCCAAGCAGTCGATGTTCCGCGGGTGCTCGGGAGCGTGAGATGGTCGAGGCAGGGGGTTTTATGTGTGAGATCGAGGCGGCGATGGGGGATCCCGCAGTTATTTGAGCGTGAAACAGCGGGTCGGAAGATTACGATTTCCGAGATAAGCGGCAATTCCCAGTTGCTCACGCGGGCCCCGCAAGGGGTTGCGCGTCAGGGGGGTCGAGGAAGAGTCAAGGAAGTTAGTGGTGAGAGATGTGAGGGTCTTCTCAGGCGGGGGGCTCTGGTGGGGGAATTGTTCCACGGAGTGCGAATGAGCCCGCGGGCCCTGGTCGACCAGTCATCGTGGATTTGGTGGAAGCCCATGAGCGAAGATGGGGGCAGTTTGTGAAGAGACGTAGTGGGTGTTTGTCGCTGAGGAGGCCGAGGTGCCTGGAAGGGCCGCGCGCGGCCCAGTGCCGCGATGCAAGGTGGGAGTTGGATTGCGCAACGGAACCCGCTTGCCCCGTCGAAATTGGCGGCTCCATTGCGCTGGGGGAACAGCTGGGGGGGGGATTCCGCAGGGCGGAGATGGGCGCCGTGACGGGGCGCGCCAGCGACCATAGTCGACCGCGCGCGGCTAGGCGGGAAGAGCGGAGACAGCGAGGATTGGGCAGAGGGGACCTCGTCAACGTCGCGCGCAGCTGGGGCGCAAAATTCACCAAGAGCCGGCTTTTCTTCGGGGGCATGGGCCTGGTCGCGGGGGGACCTTCGCGAGCGATCGGGGTTCGTCCATCGCGGCGCTCGCGGATGCTGTTGAAACCTCTTGTGACATGGGCGGGGGGCGGGTGGGTGGGTGGCGGGGGCGGTGGGATGTGGCCCTGTCGGGGGCGCCCGATTGCGCGGTGAGGTCGAGGGGGCAGTCAGAACATTGCCATGCTGGTGTCAGGACCTGCGAGAGCGCAGTTGAAGACAAATATAGAAAGCGCAAATCTGCCTTGGTAGTTGGCCCAGGTATTTTGTTCCATCGCAAGGGTACGATGGGCACTGGTGACAGGACGTCCCGCGACAGGAGCCGAGGGCGGGACTTCGACAATTCGTTGCCCGAGCTTGGAGAATGCATCGTGCACCTGAACGTTCCGCCTGAAGATGGGCGCGGCGACCTCGGGTAAACTGTGGGGGGCGTGCCTTCTTTCTGGGGGTGCGTGGAACATGCCGAGTAATCGTTGGCGCTCCAGAGGATGTCGCCAAGTCTCTCGAGTTCGGGCGCAGCGGGGGCGATGGGGATAAGTGGAAACTTGAGGAGGTCAGCGGCGTGGAAGGGTTCCCTTGGCGACCAGATCCCGACGTAACTTTGAGTTTCTAGTCGAGTTTCAGCTGGGGGCGCCAGGCCAGTGATGGCGCGGGGGGTTGCCGCGGAGAGGTCGGGGCGCGTGGCTAT